TCTTTTATGTTAACCAGATGTTTCGGATTTGAGTCTTGAAAATACAGATATCTTAAAATCTAGAAGTGAATGCTTTGTAACCCTGTTTTATATAAGAGTATAACTTCAATCCGAAAATAATTATTATTATTTTTTGGCGAAACAAAAACCTAGAAATGATGTGAAAATCATAATAGCATCACCAATTCAAAGATGAGACAATTACAACTAACAAAATAGCACATGCATGCAATATAATGAATATATGACATCAAAAAAGTATTAAACAAAACGAATATAGAATACCAACATTTGTTGGCCAAAATTGAATCCCGGATTTAAATTTTGGGGGCTAAGAATCCAATCTTTCATGTGGGAGAAAGAAATCAAGAATTATTGTACCAAATATTGGCATTATTCGTGGGCTCCACACACTATTTTGTAGAAGCAAAGGACGAGAGGGCATATATCAATGTAATCCATCGTGGTATACTTCCTTGTTATTAGGGGGGCTTTGGATTTAGGGATTTTATTTATGAAAATTATATTAGATTTTTATTTTATTCTTCTTCTCCTAAAGTGTTGAATGTCCAATCCCAAGGGCAGATAGAGTATTTGGAAGGATGTAAATTACGGTGATGTAATCCCTATATTGCCGCCACCAAGATCCGAATCTTGGTCCCTTCTCCCAAGTATTACCTACTGAACTATTGAGCTAAGTCCGTGTGAACATTTTTATTTTATTTTATAAAGGAAATTTGTTTTACATGATATGAATGATATTCTTATTTTATTTTGACATCACTCTTCCGCCCAATATCCTCCTACTTGCCTTCTCCCTTACACATACATCTTCGTTACAGTTACCGATTGATTTGAATTGGTGTGTAGTTATTGTATGTGCATCTTGTTGAAGAAGATGACCCAAAACCCTAGCTGTGCTGAAGGAAAATAAATACGTCGTTGAATGAAGACGAAGGGTAGATGATAGAATTGAGCATACCTGATTTTGTTTTGTTTTTGTTTTTTTGTTTTTTTTGTTTTTTTTTTTGTTTTGTTTTGTTTTTTTTTTTTGTTTTTTTTTTTTTTTTGTTTTCTTTTTGGTTTATTTTATCCCTTTTAACATCTTTCCAAAATAAAAATCAAGCACTATTGTTAATTTCATTTTTGTAATATTTTTATATAGAACAAACTAACTATATATTTTGAGTAATTTTCCTGTGAGGTCGTCTCACGGATTCTTGTTCATGAGACATCACGGCTGAAAATTATGGAATTTTTGACCACCTGAAAGTGATCTTAAATCAAGTCGAAAGCCTTGTTCTGACCACTTTTGGTATCCGGAAAAACCTTTGTTGCTATTTTCGACCACTTTTTGCTTTCAACTTGATTTAAGATCACTTTCAGGTGGTCGAAAATTTCATAATTTCCAGCAGTGCATGTCGAGTCAAAATAGAATTGTAATACCTATAAAGGAAAGTATAGTACTTTAGAGGGAAAATGTAAAACTATTACATTTTTTCTTAAAAAATATTACACTTTCCCTTCTAAGTAACAAATATTTTATTCCTGATTAATATTACATTTTTCACATAAGTATTACATTTTCATCTCGACCCGATCCGTCTCACAAATCTCACACAAGTTTTATGTCATATATTTTTGCTAATTAAAACTCACTTTAATCCTAAGTATTTGATTTTGATTTCAACTTCCATTATCATTAAACTGGAGAGGCTCCTAATGGAGTGCATCAAACAACTCTACATAATTTTTTTTATTATTATTAGAAAAGTGTTATTTTTTCCTTTCTATTTATATCTTAATGCTCTCATCCTGATATAACAATGAAAATTGTCTATATTCATTGGTTGCTTATAAATAGCTTATCCCACCACGAGTTGAAAAGAAAAATTCACTTAATAATCAAATAAAAAAAGATGTTGTTTGGATTTTCCAACACTACTACCCTAAAATTAACCCAATAGTTATATCATGGATCATGGTTCACCATGCACATTGTGGACCTTGTCCATATATGTACACATTGTCGTTAATGTATTATGTATCTACAGTTAACATATTATGTACCTTTAATTTATATATAAGTACATAATTCGTTAACTGCGGGTATATAATATATTAAATGTAGGTACATTATCTAGATCAAGGTTCACAATACGCATAGTGAATCCTGATCCACAATATAATTTGTGGTATTATTGAATTAACCACAAAGTGCTTATGGGGCTATGTTAAATATAATAAATTGTTCATTCACTATCAACAACCGTTTTTATTGTAATGGTAAGTGCTAAAGATCCAACAATACTAAGCGTTTACGATCAAACTAACATCCAATTAAGTAGCACCACTTCAAAAGATAAATTCAAAAAGTAATCAGACCCGCACATGTGAGTGAACGTATTGAACATATATAATGTATAAACTTAAATATGCAATTCAACTATCACCTTAGATTTTTAGTTGTAATGGAGCACATGCTTCAATTCTTATGACCAGGGCTAACTGTACGTATTTAGTTTATAGGTCAACATTTATGAGATTTCCAACTCTACTATTTAAAAGAAGAAGATACATAGATTAGTAAACTTTGATTATATTAACGTGTAACACATTAATTTCGATCTAAGAGAAGGTTTTATATATTCTATTCCTGTTTGAAAAAGGTAAAATCTAATGCTTTAACTAAATAATTAGAAAAAGGGCAAGACAGTATCTTATAAAATCAGCATAATTCCATGGAAAGAAACCTAGTTAAAAATAAAATAAAAACCTAGGAGTATAATTGAAGCCTAAATAATATAATTAATCAATATTGTGTGTATGCATGCCATAGAACAGTAAATATAGATATATAAAAACACAGAAACATATATGCATATAGAGTAGCAGGTAGCATTTTGGACAGTAGTATATATATATATATATATATATATATATATATATATATATATATATATGTATATGTGTGTGTGTGTGTGTGTGTTTATGACTTTGAGGAGGATCTGAAAGATGTTCCTGATCGTTATTTGGCATTGTGTGTACGTTACCTTATGAGTGAGTACTACTGAATTAGTCGATCTACACCATGCAATGCATGGCCCTCAGCTCCCATCCATCTCCAATTCACCATATATTATACATTATTTTCATACACCAATGCTAGCTAGCTCCAATTTCTTTTCTTTTTTTTCTCTCTCTTTTCTTTTAAAAATTTCCTGCAAAACAATTCATCAAATCAATAGTTAAAGACAAAATTGAATAGTAATAATGCCCATCAAGGCTAAAGAATTGAAAATGATGGAAAAAGTATATAATGCACTTTGAAGGATGGTTTCTATCTTTCGAACTCGTGAACTTTTAATTTGCTTGCTTTAATGCTAAAAGAATGTGTTTCGCTGATCATATCGATTAAAAATTTAATTGAATATTGAGATTGACCATTTATTGTTTTATATATATTATGCTTAATAATATGTAGGACTCCTACAATAGTTTCGCAATTTGACTAATATAGCCTTGCAAAAGACCAAGTACAATAAGCTGATGGAAGATTAGATACCCATTAGGCTATGAATCAATTAAGAGACATCGAATCAATTGAACAACTCACTTATAAGAGATCGAATGCTAATTTAATTTCAAATTAGTCAAAATTTAATAGTATCTGTGCGACTATCTAATACATGTTAATAGAAAAAGACACTAAAGTACCTATATATATATATATATATATATATATATATATATATATATATAGAGGGTACATATATGCACCAAGCACATTTCATACTTGTCTACATTGTTTTTCAATTCACAGGCAGCATCACAAGTGGCAATCATAGCTTCCACAGAAGAAATTACATCTGATCTATCTATCTCAACTACAAGTATTAACTTATCAGCTTTTTCAATCCATTCACACACATCATAGTCCACATTAAGTATCCTATTCATATATATATGTCAACTGTACTCATATCATGAATATAATCAACATAGAATATCATAATTATATTGCTTTTTCTTGTTTTCGAGATTACCAGTTTTCTGTCTGCTAAAGAAGAAAAAGAAGCTAGCCAGACAGTACAGTGATCCACATAAAGAGATGTAGACTGAGCTATGATGATATCTTTGTGGTAGATAGAGCCAAAACATCAATGAAATTCAAGAATCATATATATATATATTGGAAGTGTGTATGTATATATGATATCTCTTGAAACCAACATATATATATGTATGGTCCAAACAAAGAAAGTGCAGCAGCGTACTATATATATACATACATATATATATATATATATATATATATATATATATATATATATATATATATATATATATATATATATATATATATTGTGAAAAATGTGGGGGTGAGATGAGTGAATGTAATTACACAAAAATGGGAAAAGCATATATATATATATATATATATATATATATATATATATATATATATATATATATATATATATATCCAACTAGGTGCACAACCACACATGAGGTTTGAGAAGATCAAATTAATAATTAATGAGAAGAGAAAGGAGAGGAGGCTACTGATGAATCTGACAGGATGAAGCTAAAAGAAAAGTAACAATGACAAAAGATGAGAATGAAAAGGATGGGAGTATTAATATGCTGCTATATACACATAAATATACGGGTATAATGATGAAATTAATTAAGATAAATAATGGTGTACCTTTTAAAGCTAGCAAAGCAAAGCTGTATGTCTGATCTGAAGCAACTTCCTGTGCATAGTACATAATAACACCGGCAGGCCGGCCAGGGCCGGCGTGGCAAACGAAGCAGAAGCAATATATGCTTGCTTGCTAGCTGCAAACAAATTAAAACTAGTGTTTTTGTAGCAGATCAGATCAGATCAACTTCAATTCATTCTTCCATCATCATATCATATCGTTCCGTCTTAATTGGATTCAATTCATGATGAACTACGTACAACACCTTCTAAAAAAGCACAGGTAGGTAGGTTTCAAAACAAATTGAATAATGGATCGGAGGATATGATGCATGAATTGAATATTCCGGCGGCCAAGCCCTTCATACAGTAGGAATTCAAATTGTTGATGATAGCATTGCTATGTAATCATATAAATATATATATAGATTTATGTATCATATCATATGATCTCTATTATATTGCGGGGTGTTATACACAATTTTTTTTAATAATAATAATAATAATAATAACGTGAATCTTAGTATTTTAGCAAAAGGATCGGAATAGGCCGGAATCCATGGTTCCGTTTTTTGCCGGCGGGCGGGATGGGTGAATGGTGTCAGATATCCAAATCCAAGGACATGGAGGAAGATGTAGTCTTGGCTTTGTCAAAAGGCGAATCTTGATCAGATGGTCCATCTCCATAAGAGGAAGACGATAGGTGATATGAAGATGGGATTAAGGCGGCCGGCGAAGAGCAGTCGTCGGATTCGGGAATGGGGCACTCCATGTTCACGCCGAACAGTCTCAGTCGCTTTGCTGTTGCAGCAGTCTTGCCTTGGACCACCGGTACCGACTCTAAAACCACAGCCCCACCGCCGCCGCCGCTTTGAGCCGGAGGCGCCTCTTCTTCTGCCGATCTGTGATAATAAATTGTTGAACCGCCCGGGCAAGGGTTTCCGTTTAGCGCCGCGGCGGGGTTGAATTGGGAATTGAAGGTGGGATAGTTAGGAGGAGGAGGAAGAGGAGGACCACACCCAATTGCGTAATTATTGTAGGCATATGAATTGTGTGAATGAGAGTGCCCCCCTGGGAACATGGCATGATAATTCCAACCTCCCGCCGGCAGCGGCGGCGGCGGGTAATGATGATGATGAACGGAGCGGTTGAAAGAGAAGTGGTGCGGAATGGCGGCGGCGGTGAGGTGAAATTCATGGTGGGGATTGGGGCGGCGTCTCCAGTCGATAAACAGACGATCTTTCCCCAATTCACCCAGCCCGCGGTGGAAAGACACAATATCCCCAGCGTCCAGCTTCTTATCCTTGACGAACCGGCTCCACCCTTTGGTCATCACATAGCTTTGGCTACTGTTCCAGTACGAGTACCTGAACCGCCATGGCTTCCCATTCCTGTCCTCGAAGTTCAACAGCAGACCCTTCTCGTTGCTCGACGAGTCCAGCGGGAAATACTTCTCCGCGTGCTGCTTCGGTATCACCAACCGGTTCAGCTTTCCCACATCGCTCGGAGTCACCACCTTGTCAAACATGTGCTCTCTCTCAATAATCTCTCTCCCATCCCCATTATTGTTCCCAGTCGGACACGAAGAGCAACCCTCATCAAACCAAACCCCTTGTTGCCGAATCCCGTAAGAGAGAGCCGCCGAATGTCTCTGCTGTGAAGAAGTAGAAGAAGAAGAAGCAGAAGAAGAAGAAGAACGCATACCTGCTTGTCTATCGTTCGACATGAAATTCATCACCAATTACATCAACCAAGCCCCCAATTCTGATAGATAACTAGATCTACACTGCCCAGAAATTTGAGTGACTGATCTGAGATGCCGGGGTTTCTGGTTTCTTGTTTCTACTTTCTTGAGCTGCAGCTTCAATTCTTCAGTACCCTAGCTAACAACTTAAGTAGTGTACTAGCTAGAGCATTAATGGTGGGATGGGTATGATGATAGATAGACGGATAGAGATCCAAGAAATTAAGACCATGGTTTTGCTTGCTATACTAGCTTCAGCAGCATCAAATTAAAATCCCGGAGGATATATACATAGATTCAAGAAAACTAGCTAGTGCCGTTGCACTTTATTATCATCTTCTTCTTCAATTCTTCTTCTTCTCTTCTCTGTTGACCTTTTTGAGAGAGTGTGTTGATATGCATAGTGGGTGCTTCCCTGGAATCTTCTCAAGTTAGGCAAATTTTCATTAAATTCTTTTCCTTTTTTTCTCCCATTCAGAGCAAAAGAGTAAAGAGGCATAGATCGATGGAGACCCGCTGTTCATACTTCGGTTTGAGCTTGTGGTACCTGCGGGGTGGGGCCCACGAATTATCTGGTTGGGCTCATGTGACGACCTACTCCTCTTTTTATCCATCATTATACCCCCACACCATACCAGTCGTTATATTATAGACCACGGTGCATGTGCACCGCGGTCAAAAACGACGCCGTTTCTTTAAGTAAAGAAACGGCCCGCCGTTAGAGTTAACGGAGTCCGTTTGTTTGGTATATTAAACATCAACTGATACTACAGTATATTCAAACCGACACTGCAGTTATATTAAAATGATACTGTAGTTATAGTGAAATGAAACTGCAGTGTATATAAACTGAAACTGAATAACATTTCACATATTTGAGTGTATATTGTACAATGAAGCTGTAATTATATCAAAATGATCATGTAGTTGTATTTTAATGAAACTATAGTGTATATAAAATAAAATTAAATAACATTTTCACATATTTGAGTCTATAAATATCGAATGAAACTATAGTTATATCGAAATGAAACTGTAGTTCTGTTCAACTGAAACTGCAGTGTATACAAAATGACACTGAATAACAGAGTTACTTTTTGCAAAAGGGTGCGAAACGGCGGAAATAAACACTGTTAATTTTCATTTAAAAAAAAAAAGACGCGCGGTGCATAATCGATTATGCACCGCGGTGCATAATATAATTTGCCCACACCATACTTCACATAGCTCCTTTCTTTTTTTTTTTTTTTTTTTTTTTTTTGGTGAATTATAGCTCCATTCTTAGTATATTGTACATTCAATTTTAATAAGTTTATTATATTTTAATACAAAATTTTTAGTATTAATGTATATTTATTTTTAAATTTGTATTACATTAAAAATGAAAATATATCAGCAATAATTCACACTATAATTTGTCTCCTTTTATAGATCATTGCCCTACTTAATACGAATATTACTAATAGCTTTGGATATTCTAGGTTCATATATATACTAAACGTGCACTTTATAATAACTAAATATGCATTCCTGAAATATTCTAAAAAGTGCAAAGTATAGTGCTCTAACTTGCACTATAAAGTTGATAAATCTCAAACTTTGCTATGCAACTTAGAACACTATACTCATTATGTACTTTTCAGGATTTTACAGAAATACACATTATGTTGTTACAAAGTACACGTCTAGTATTAATTAAAAAATAAATTTTGCAAAATGTAAAAGTGCACTGCGCATAGGGTTTGATTTTAAAGTTTATGACTAAACTTTTTTGTTCTATTTGGTTTAGGAATTTACTTTTTACTTCTTAAGTTTAAAAATTACGATTTAGATTTAAATTTAATATTTTCATTGATTTTTTAAAAGTTATCCAAAAATTCACATTATGTTATATGTTATATATATATATATATATATATATATATATATATATATATATATATATGGGATGGTTCACGTGGGAAGCTTCTCCTAGGTGAAAAATTGGGTGAGATTGAACCGTTCATCTAATCTAGATAAACGACTCAAACTGAAGGAAAATTTAAAAAAAAAAATACGCTTCCTGGCAACATGGATGCAAATGATCAAGTATCTCGAACTTATGCACCTTAAACTTTAAACATACGCACCTTAAACTATAAACTTATGCACTTTAAGATTTAAACATACTCACCTTAAGAGTTAAACTAATGTATCGTAAACAAGAAAGTGATGCACCTTAAGCTATAAACTTACCCACCTTAAGTTTTAGACTTAAGCACCTTAAACTATAACTTAGGCACCTAACGCTATAAACTTACGCACTTTAAGCTTTGAATTTACGCACCTTAAGTTGTGACCTTATGCACCTTAAGCTGTGACCTTACGCAAAATGATCATAATACCACAGCGTTTTTTTTTTAATTGTTCTTCATTTTGGATTGTTGATTTTGGCAAGATCAAAGGTTGTGATTAATCCACATGTTTCACCTGGGAGAAGTTTCGCACTGTTATATATATATATATATATATATATATATATAGAATTAGGTTTTGGTGCGGGTAGCAGCTCCAGGTGCGATTCTGCGCATAGTGGAGAGCCATTGATTTTGTTTAAATCAACATCCCGGATTACCAAAATTTAAAAAAAAAAAAAACGTGGTGGCAATTTGGTAATTTTTGTAACTAGGTCAAATTTCAGGTGTGTCAGTTTTGTGCTTAAGGTGCGTGTGTTTGTGCTTAATGTGACTAGTTGTTGAAACTTAAGGTGCGTGAGTTTTGTGCTTAAGGTGCGTCATGTTTCTACTTCGTGCACCATTTTCTGTAAGTCACGGGAAGTTCAGACCCTCAAGAAGAACAAAACTTTTGAATTGAGGGGTGGTTCAGACCCTCAAGAAGAACAAAACTTTTGAACTGAGGGGTAGTTCAGACCCTCAAGAACAAAACTTAATATGCGTCATTTTAACACTTAAGGTGCGTTGTTCTAATACTTAAGATGCGTCATGATTTTTCTTCGCGCACCATTCTCTGTGAGTCACGGGTAGTTCAGACCCTCAAGAAGAACAAAACTTTTGAAGTGAGGGGTGGTTCAGACCCTTAAGAAGAACAAAACTTTTGAACTGAGGGGTGGTTCAAATCCTCAAGAACAAAACTTTTGAACAAAACTTAATGTGCCTCATTTTAACACTTAAGGTGCGTTGTTCTAATACTTAAGATGCATATTTCTATAACTTAATATGCGCCATTTTTAGCTTCTTTCTTCCAAACAGGCGTTTTTTTATTATTTAATTTTCATTGATTTGAGCCATTAACCGCACAACCGCACGAGAAGCTTTTACCCCATATATATATACTAGTTTTTCTACGCGCTTTGCGCGAATAGGATAATGCCCAATACTTATTTTTAAATAAGTATTTCAAAGTATATTAATGAAGTATTATATAGAAGATGTTCATGCATAAGTAAATAAATGTTGAATTTGTTTATTTAAATCGGTAATTTAAAGTATATAAATGCAAGATAATATATGAGAGGTTGATTATATATAACTGTCACAAAAATACATGTTTGCAACTTTGTAATAACGCTAATCTAAGTACTAAGTCTAAAAGCGATAGTCTAAATAAATACTCTTTTTGGTTTAAATTTTTCTAATTCTCTTTTGGGTAGCATTGTTATTGTTTTCATCTTCAGTACATGTCTTTATTATTATTATTATTATTTTTGTTATTGGTAGTGTGTCATGTGCAATTGGGTTTTTGGTGGTATCATAGAAGGATTCATCATGCAATGAGATTATGGAGTATGAAGTTTTAGATTTGTTTTGTTGTGTATATGACTGAGATCTTAGTTGTGCTATGAACTATTTATCTTACAAACACATGTTGATATTTGGTAGTAGTAGTTTTTCCCTACATGTTTCATGTGTTGTGAGACATCTAATTCTAAATTAATTAAATGTGTATGTATTTTTTTTTGTTGTTGTAGTTACTAATTTATTTTTTTAATTTAAGTAATAAGAGCAATAAAGTGGGCAAATTATGTTGTGGAACCGTGTCCACCTTGCAAGGTGGACACAGTTCTAAAATTGTCCATAATTATGAATATATAGTTCAAAAATTATAAACATATAGTTCTATAATTATGAACATAGAGTTGTGAACATAATTATGAACATATAGTTCTGTAATTATGAATATAGAGATTCAATAATTGTGAATATGAAGTAAAAAAATTATGAATATATACCTTTATAATTATGAACATATAGTTCAGTAATTATGAACATAGAGTTCTGTAATTGTGAATATAGAATTCAATAATTATGAATATGAAGTTCAGTAATTATGAACATAGAGTTCAGTACATGTCCTCTTTTTATTTTTATTTTTTTATTTTATTTTTATTGGTAGTGTGTCATGTGCAATTAGGTTACTGGTAGAAACATATAGGGATTCATCATGCAATGAGATTAGGGTGTAGGAAGTTTTAGATTTGTCTTTGCTGTGTATATGACTGAGATTTTAGTTGTAATATGAACTCTTTAACGTACAAACACCTATTGATATTTAGTAGTGGTAGTTTTTTCCCTACATGTTTCATGTGTTGTGAGATGTGTGTCGTAGGTAATCATGTGAAAGTATTGAACAAAATATTAATATTTATTATATTTGTATAAAATACTTGATAAATAAATAAATAAATAACATATTTATTTATTTATTTATTTTTCAAGTACTTTATACAAATATAATATTCATAATTCATAATATATGTTTAACAATTATGCCAACTATACTTGGGATGGGGTTCGAACCTAAGACCTTATATAAATTAAGAGTATGTTAAGAATAATAAATAGTTAACGGAATATTCCGTTACTAAAGTTTAAACTAACGGAATTTAGGGTTATTTAAGGGAAGAAAATAATATAATAGAGAGTAAATAAGGAAAATCATTAAAAGATACTGAAATCAAAATAATATGAACCATTCATTTTAAGAAACAATTAGTACCGACATTTTTTTTGTTCCAGTTAAGGGCCTAACATTATTCGCTCTTATTAAATTTGTAGATATATATATATATATATATATATATATATATATATATATATATTACTTTTTAAAAACAAATATATTATAAAAGGTGGTTTGGTAGTTAATAAAGTCTAAATTTTCTTAAATATATAAAAGGTCAACTAGATATGTAATTTTTGAAAGCTAATTTAAGATGAAAAAGTTATTTTGAATTTGGATTAGTTTTTTTTTCTTTTAATGCTACTGACTCTATTACAATGTAGTATCTGTTCATAGCTACTTTCTCGAATTTGGATTAGCTTTTAATTTTTTTTTTTTTTTGGTTTCCAAGTAAGATTTAGAGAAATCAATGGAATTGAATATCTATATTCCAAAAATCAATTTTTCTAACAAAATTATTCTGACAAATACATACTTTTTGAATAATTTAATCGGTCATCAAAAAACATCAAACAATTGTCCAAAGGAATATAATTCTCCAAGAATCAATTGTTGCGTAGTTTAATTTGCAATCCCATTATTCA